GTCATTGTTGTTTGGCGGGTCCGGGCTGGGGATTCGAACCCGCCACCTTAGGTGTACATGGCTGGCGCCTTAGCCGTTTGAGCTATAGGCACCGAGCTGAGAGAGATCTTATCTTTACAAAACATTATAAAAACTTAGCAGGGCATGGTGGCTCAGGCCTTGCAGTCTCATATTCTGGTATGCTAAGTGAGGAGGTTGCTTGACTACAGAAGTTCAAGGTTACAGTGAGCTATGATTTTGCCTCTTCAGTCTAGCCTAAGTGACAGAGCAAGACCCTGCATCTTAAAAAAAAAAAAAAAAGAAGAAAGAAAGAAAATCATCATGATTATATATGATACCACAAGAAGTATCTTTATAGTTATATGATAATATACATCTTCAAAAAGTATTTATATATATTTAAAGTTGATAAGTATGAACATTGTAATACTATGAACTACATGATTCCTGATCAAATGTGTGCTGCTTACATTTTAACATAAAAACTAAATGTCTAATAAAGAGCGACAAGAAAAGCATAGATCAGGCAGTGCCTGTTGCTCAAGGAGTAGGGCGCTGGCCCCATATACCAGAGGTGGTGGGTTCAAACCCAGCCCCAGCCAAAAAAAAAAAAAGAAAAGAAAAAGAAAGTATAGATCTTTTCCTAATGTCCTGGAGCTTGATGATCACTAAATTATATTTTAAAAAATGCTACAAACACTGACCTGAAGTTGTTGCAGGACTCATTGTAGAAAAATTCTCCAAAGATGCTGGAATAAAGAAAAGTTGATTTGATAGATGGACTTACAATATAAATATATAACAGAATATTGAATACAGTTTGAAAGTTCCCATTTTATTTTCTTTAATGTTGAATCTTTCTATTCATTATCTGGTTGCAATACTTTTGATAAACTTTCAGAATCTAGTTATTCTTTCTGTATAATTTACTCTTGAATAAAGTTTGCTTTATTTTACATCCATTTAAGAAAAATATATATTTATTCATAATAAGTATACAGACTATATTTAAGCCAAGAGTAACACAACATGACCCTCACATCCTAGAACCACTGAAATATGGGAGTGGTATCAACTGTAGACAATATTTCACATAATAAATATTCCACTGGGAAATAAGAAATCTTTAAGTAAAATGTACTTTTCACATAAAAGATAAAAACTGGATATTTTCTTTCCCCTTTAACATGCTTCATAGTTTTAAAAATATAGCAACTGAAATGTGCAAGATATAAGGGAAATCAAAGAATATCTTGTGAAAAACCACTGTCTAGTGAATTTGTTTTTATTCAAAAGTATATTATTGGTAAGTGGGCTAAAAAGTATTATTATTTTCTTGTACCAAGCAGATTGTTTATTTCAGCATTTCATAATTTTTGTGTAGTCCTGTTCCTATAACATCTATAGAAGCTTTGTGAATGACATATGGTAGAATATTAATAAAGAAGTTAACAAATAACATTTGTAAGAGTTTTCATGAAGAGAATGATGTATTAATATTCAGTTATTTAATATTTAATAACTGATCCATCATCAGAGCAGCGTGCTAAGAGGACGCACTGGGAATCAAAAGACAAGGACGGGGGCACAAAAGTGAAGGTGAGGGAAGAGGGGCAACCTGGTCTGTGGTTTGGAGGTACACAGGGAAGACAGGTGCACACACTGGGAAGGGACAGAGGAGAGAAGCCCTGGGCTTCCCCTGCAGTCTTTGCAAACTGAGCTGCAAGGGGGACCTTCTACTGCAGAGGGCCACAGGATTGATGAATGGAGCTGACTGGAGATTTTGCAGCAGCATTGCACCAAAGAGAAGGTGCAGCAGGAACCCACTTGCGAAGTTTGGGTACTGTGGCTGGTGCCATTTAAAAATCTTAGAGCTAGAGCATTGCCTCTACCTGGAGGTCACATTCACTGCTGCTGCTTCCCCAGTGCCCATGCCAATCCTGGGGGTGGAGAGGGAGCAAGGCAGCCAGGCACTCTCATGAGTCCCACAGGCATGAGCTGTAAATCTCCATGGCTGCCAGGGGACCTGAGCAGGGCAACAACCACTGCCACCTTCGACATGGTTGGAACTGCACCCAAGTTGGTGCCTGGCTGATAAATGTTCCCATTTGCAGATCTGAGCAGGGCAGCCCTCAAGCAGATGTGGGCTATCAATTGCTGCCACTAAAGGACCTGGATAGTGCTATGTACAAGCTGCAAGGGTCAAGGACACTACTCCCTGAATCCAGACAGCTCTGAAGCCAGCGTGAGCTGACAAATGCCACCACCTAAAGGTATAAGCAGGGCTGTGTTAAAACTGACACTGCTGCCCACTGATCTGAGTAGGGACGCTCTCATGCCAATGCAAACAATCACTACCACCATGGGCCTGGGAAGGGTGTACTCAGACTGACAAATACTGTTGCTCACAAACCTAAGGGGAGCAGCTCTCAGGCTGGTTTGAGGTGAAAATCACCAGTGCTGACAGAACTAGCTGGGGATCATTCTGCATTACAGAGACCATGAGTGACAACCACAGGGGACGGTGAGGCAGGAGACACAGGGGAACACCAGTGTTAAATGTTCACAGGCCTCCCGTCCATCTCACGTTGAGTCAGCCTCCAGAGTAGGACAGAAGTGCATCATTCAGGGACCTCTGCTTTGCACTATGTGGGAGGGCCCCAGTAGAGGATAATAGGTGCAATGCACCGTACCTATCTTGAGATGAGAGATGAGATTTCAGGTGAGAGGGAGCCAGAATGAGAACTCTGGAAATATTAAACAACAAGCTATTTTGAAACCTTCAAAGGATCACAAAGGATTTCAAGCATTGGGCCTAAATCTAAAGGAAATTGTCTAAATGTCAGAGATGGAATTTAGAATATGGACAGCAAATAAGATCAATGGGTTTAAAGAGAAAGCTGATAATCAACACAAACAGGGTGAAAAAGTTTTCCAGGAATGTATAAAAATGAAAATCTTGCTAAAGAGATAGCATAAGGAAAGCTATAACAAGACTCTGTGAAATTAAGGGGTCATTTAGGGAGTTTCAAAATATAGCAGAAAGATTCAACAATAGGCTAGACCAAGCAGAAGAAAGAATGTCAGAAGTTGAAGAGAAGGCTTTTGAACTGCTCAAGCAACCAAAGATGTGGAAAAAAGAATAAAGAAAAATGCACAATCACTCAGAGAAATGACAGGGGATTATGTGACATGGGCCAATATAAGAATTACAGGGATTCCTAAGGAAGAATAAGAAATGCAAAAAGTGTGGAAAACCTATTCAAGGGAATTATTGAGAAAAACTTTCATGGTATCACCAGAGATTTATATATTCAAATACAAAACAATCATCAAAAACCAAGAAGATTCAAAGCAAACAGCACATCTCCATGACACATATTATGAACCTGGCCAAAGTCAAAACAAAGGAGAAAATTCTATAAATGGCAAGGAAAAAACCCCATCATTAGGCTAACAGCAGACTTCTCAACAAGGATCTTATAAGCCAGAAGTGACTGGGGACCTATTTTTAGTCTTATTAAAAAGGACATCTGCCAACCAAGATTTGTGTATTCTATAAAAGTAAGTTTCATAAACAATGGAGAAATAAAGACTTTTATAGAAAATAAAACACTAAGGGGATTTGTCACTACTAGAACTGCCCTACAGGAAATACTCAAAATTGAACTGTATATAGAACAGACTAATAGATAACTACCAGTGTAAAAACACTCCAAAGTTAAAGCCCACAGGTCTAATAAGATGATAGCACAAGAGGTAAAACAAACCAGCAAGATATCATCCAACATGATGTACAGAACAGTATCCCACACATCAGAATTAACACTGAATGTGAACAGTGTTAACACCCCATTTAAAAAACATAGACTGGATGAATGGATTAAAAATAAAAAGCCAAAAGTATATGCTGCCTCCACAAAACACATCTAACTCACAAGGACGCACACAGACTCAAGATAAAGTTACGGAAAAAATATTTTAGGCAAATGGAATCCAGGAGAAAACAGATATAACCATTCTCTTATAAGATAACATAGGATTAAAAAATTTAATTATTATGGGCACATAATTGTATGTTTCTAGAGGATACATGTGATGTTTTGATACTGGCATAAATGTTAATTAATCAAATGAGGGTAATTGGGGTTTCTATCACCTCAGGGTTTATCATTTCTTTGTGTTAAGAACATTCCATTTCCACTCTTTAGTTATTTTAAAGCACACCCTAACATCATTGTTTAATACAGTCACTTTGTTGTATTATCAAACATTGTTCATTCTATTTAACTATCTAATAATTTTTTTTACTTGTTTACTACCCATTATTCCCTCTTCTCACTGCCTTTTCCAGACTCTTGTAATATTGTTTATACTGTGTCTCTGTGAAATCAACAGTGGTAAAAAATAAAATACAAAGATGGCCATTACATAATGCTAAAGAGAGCACTACAACAAGATGACGTAACAATTATGACCATATATGTAATTAACACAGGCTTTCCCAGATTCATAAAGCAAATTTAACCAAATCTAAACAAAGACATGTACAGTAGCATTGTAACTGCTGGGAATTTGACACCCCAACAAGAGAACTGGACAAGTCATTGAAGCAGAAAATCAGTAAAGAAATTCTTGACTTAAATGAATCTCTAAAACAAATCTCTTAAACCAGGAATTTAAGACATGTACAGAACATTCTACTCCAAAGCTATTGAATTTACATTCTTCTCATCAGCACATGGGACATTTTCCAAGATTGATCATACCTTAGGCCACAAAACAGGTCTCAGCAAACTAAAAACAAAAATAAAAATTATACCAGGTATCCTCTCAGACCATTTCTGAATGGAATAAAATAAGAAATCAATTTCAAGAGAAACACTCAAATCTATACAAAGTCATGGAAATTAAACAAGCTGTCACTGACTGATGCCTGGGCTAATGATGAAGTTAAAATGGAAATCGAAAGGCTGCTAAACTGAAAGATGAAGGAAACACAACCCTTCAGAATCTATGAGATACAGAAAAAGAGGTCCTAAAGGGAAAATGCATAACATCAAATTACTGCATCAAAATGACAGAAAGATCACAAATTAACAAGCTAATGTCATACCTCTAGGAACTGGAAAAAGAAGAACAAATCAAACCCAAAGCCAGCAGAAGAAAAGACACCATAAAGATCAGAACTAAATGAAATGGAAACCTAAATCCCCCTCTCTCTCTTTATCTATCTATACACATACATCTATACGATCAATGAAACAAAATGTTGGTACTTAGAAAAAAAAATCAAAATTGATAGACCACTAACCAGACTTGATAGACCAATAACAAGATAAAGAAGCATAAGGACTCAAACAACCTCAAAAAGAAATTAAAAAGGAGAAATTAAAACTGATCCCACAGAATTACAAAATATTATTGCTTAATACCAAGAAAACCTCTACACACATAAACTAGAAAAGCTAGAAGCTATGGATAGTTTCTGGAAACACACAAACTTCCAAGTTAGAATCAGAAGAAATAGAAATCTTATCTTGAACAGACCAAAAATGAGTAGCAAGATTGAAACAGTAATAGAAAATTTATAACAATAACAACAAAATCCAGATGGAATCACAGCTGGATTTTACCGAACCTACAACGAAGAATTGGTACCTATCTTACAGAAATTACTCCATAACATTGAAATAAAAGGAATCCTCCCTAACTCATTCTAAAAAGCCAGAATCACCTTGATACCAACAAATAAAGAAAACTACAGACCTATGTCCCTAATATAATACAGATACAAATATCCTCAACAAAATGCAAGTGAATGGAATTCAATAGTACATCAATAGAATTCACCATAACCAAATGGGTTTCATCCCAGGATGCAAGCATGGCTTGACACATGCAAATAAATAAACATAATTTATCACATAAAAAGAAGCAAAAGCAAAGACCATTGTAATATCAATAGATACATTAAAAAGGCTGGAGTGCTGGCTCTGCCTGTAATCAACCTGATCTCAGGAGTTAGAGACTAGCCTGATCAAGAGGGACCCCATCTCTACTAAAAACAGAAAAACTGGTTGGGCATTGTGGCAGTGCCAGTAGTTCCAAGTACTCAGAAGCCTGAGGCCAGAGGATGGCTTAAGCCCAAGGTTGCTGTGAGCTGTGATGCCAAGGCACTCTCCACAGGGCAACAAAGTGAAACTCTGTCTCAAAAAAAAAAAAAAAAAAAGGTACATAAAAAGTATTCAACAAAAACCAGCACCTTTATCGGATATAAACCCTCAACAAATTAGAAATGAAAGCAATGGACCTCAAAGTTATAAAAAGCCACATAGATGATAAACCTACAGACAATATTACTGAATGAGGTAAAGTTAGAAGCATCCCCACTAAGAATTGGAATAAGACAAGTTCTATTCAACATAGTACAGAAGTTCTAGCCAGAGCAATCAGGCAAGAGAAGGAAATAAAGCATATTCAAATTGGAAAAGAGGAGGTCACTGATGATATAATCTTGTATCAAGAAAACCCTAGAGCATCCAACAAAAGACTCCTAGAATTGTTAAATAAATTCAGTAAAGTCTCCAGTTACAAAATCAGTAGCATTTCTGTATACTAAGAACAATGAAGCTAAGAGTCAAATCAAAGACTCAGTATCATTTACGATACCTACAAAGGAAATAAATACCTGGGAATATACTTAAACAAGAGTGTCACGACCCGTCGGGCTCCTGTGGCCCTGGTCTTGGTTAGCACAGGAAGGAACCAGGCGAGAGGAGGATTAGAAGTACAAGCTTGTGGAAGGCGGGCTAGCCCTTACTTTCCGGGTAGCCCCGAGCAACCTCCACATCAGCCTTTTATAGGAACGGAATGATACAGGTGAGGGGAGTAATTAACAATGACTACGTGCTGAGGGCACGAGCTCTTCTTCCACAAGGAACTCCTGTGGACAAATGGCCCGAGGTCTCCGCCTCAGCTGCAGATCATTTTGCTCGGATGTCATCTGGCTCTTGGCATCTCCTACACAAGAGGGTGAAAGATCTCTACCTGGAGAACTATGCAGTATTAATGAAAGAAATCACGATGACACAAACAAATGGAAAAATATCCCAGGCCCATGGATTGGCAGAATTGGCATCATTAACACGTCTACACTGCCTAAACCGTTTCACGGATTCAACACAATCCCCATCATAATACAAATGTCATACTTCACATATCTACACAAAATAATTCTACATTTCTTTTGGAACCAAAAATGCCTGCATAGCCAAAGCAATGTTAAGCAAAAAGAACAAATCCGGAGGCATCACTTTATCTGACTTCAAATAATACTACAAGGCTGTAGTAACAAAAACAGCATGGTCCAGGCATAAAAGTAGAGAAAAAGGCCAATGTATCAGAATAGAGAAGCCCGAAATACAACCGTCCACCTACGACCTATTGATCTTCCACAAAGTGCACAACAACATGCCCTGGGGAAAAAGAATCCCTTCAATAAATGGTGCTCAGAAAACTGGACAGCCACATGCAGAAGGTTGAACTAAGGCTTCTTATCTCTTGCCACGTACAAAAATTAGTTCAAAATGGATTCCTCAAAGAAATAAATGCAGCAATCCCACTACTGGGTATCTACCCAAAGAAAAAGAAGTCGTTTAATCAAAAAGATAACCTGTACTCTCGTGCTTACCACACCTTTTCAATATTTGTTATTTTACATTTTCTGACGGATAATTTTCTTCAAATATACTTTCTTTGTGTTTCACTTTTCTCATGCAAATGTGTCACCTTAGGCAAAATACATGTTCCTAAAGCCAATCGTTTCATTCATAATTGCCAAGATGTGGACTCATCTCTGACTCATTCAACTCATGTTCCCCATTGACTTATGAGTAAACAAAGAAACTCATAAATTTCTTATAGAGTACTAGTCAGCTATAAAAAATAATGAAATAATGTCTTTGGCAGCTATTTGGAAGGAACTGAAGACTATTATCTTACGTGAAGTATCTGAGGAATGGAGAAATGGACACCACACATACTTTCTTACAATTGAGAGTTAAATGATGGCCACACATGGTCACGAAAAGATGTAAAGGATATAAGAACCAAGAAGGGGGAGGAAGAGGAGGAATAAGAGGTACAACTTACCTATTGGGTACAATGAACCCTTTTCTAATTATAGGCACACTAAAAATCCCAAATTAAACATTATATAAGGAATCCATGAAACAAAAACATTAGTATCCCTTGATGTTTTTAAATTAAAAAAATAAAAAAATTAAAATTTTAATTTTCTATAACTAACTGAGACGGAGTAAACTCTTTAACTCCTGTTTATTCTTCTTTTAGCTTCTCGTGACTAATTTGACCTTGACATTTGAATTTGTAATCTAAGCATGTCCATGTGCATATCTCAGAGAGAAAGTGAGAAGTATCACATTCTGATAGGCAGTGCCTGAAAAGTCAGAGTTTGCTTGACCAATGTAAAAAATCTATTAGACCCACAAACATTTATATATGCCAACAGTTTCAACATTTTATTGCCTTTTTGATATTTCACCAACTTTTTCTCACTGACAATTTTCTTCAAATATAGTTTCTTTGTGTTTCACTTTTCTCATGTAAATGTGTCACCTCAGGCAAAATACATGTTCTAAAGTCAAGGATGATTCCACTTTTCCCCAGATATATTGCTAAAATTTTAATTTCATAGCTTAATGATTCAAAGAAATCAAATAATGTTCACAGATACCTGAGATATCGATGCTGTTCAAATCAATATGGAAAGTGACCAGTTGGCTGGATTTATTTGCTTCAATGCCTTGAATAAGTTCTTCTTTTACATTTTCATTTGACACCCACCGGGCAAAGAAAAGGTCAAATATGACTACAACACTGCCATTTCTGCAAAGCAAAAGATGATATACAAGGAAAAAGTCAGCCGTCTTCAAGAGATTTGTGCTCAATTCATTTCACATGTCTTTGAAATTTTCTATAATTACCACCTTCCTAAACCTCATTACACCTGTGTAAGGTAGTTTACATCAAATATTATCTTTATTTCATTAGTTAGAGTAAAATGAAGACAGACTTTGAAGTATACCCAAAATTGGAAGCTGAGCTTTTTAAGTTTCACATTAGAACATTAATCCCCAGGTCAGGCTGTTTCCCAGAGCCATCTGTGTAAAATTAAACAGAACCACATGGTGACAGGACACTTATTCTGATTTTACTGTTTGAAGAAATGAACAGTGTGGATTTGTGATTTTTCATGATTTCTAAGTTAGTTTAGTTGATTTCAAAGAACATATTTTCTATATAATTTAAGAAGTCCTGAGAGCAAACTTATAGCAACTAATCTCTATCTACATTTCCTTCATTATTTTGCTTAATATAAAATATCAAAATAGATCCTGATTTCAAGGAATAGAATGAGAACAAGGATTATTAGGGACTCACAGGATATTCAGTGTCTTGGCCAAGAGTTGCCTACACAATCGCTGATCATAAGATTAGAGTTCAATCAGATACCTCGATCATCCTCCCTTTATGTTGTCCCCTGGTCTTAACATGCATTTTAAGTGGGAATTTTTTTTCGCTTTCAAGAAAATTTTACAAAATGTTTTTTCTTTTCTTTTTCTTTCTTTCTCTTTTTGAGACATAGTTTCAAGCTATTGCCTTGAGTAGAGTGCAGCGGCATCATAGCTCACATGCACCTCCAAGTCTTGGGCTCAAGTGATCCTATTCCCTCAATTTTTCTATTTTTAGTACCAACAGGGTCTCACTCTTGCTCAGGCTGGTCTTGAACTCATGATCTCAAGCTATCTACCCACCTCGGCCTCCCAGAGGGCTAGGATTATAGACATGAGCCAGCAGGCTTGGCCTTACAAAATACTCTTTATGTGTTGAACTCCTCTTTGTAAAATTTTGTAATGAATATTCTGTAAATAAAGATACATTTAACTGTAATTTCCCATCCTTGGCAACCTTTAGGAGGATTTTTGGAACACCTTGTGTTTCCTTCATGCTATTCTTTTAGCATACAACACTTTAGAAACAAATTCCAGCTCTGACAATTATTCTTCACCTCTCAGTAAGATGGTGTTAGTCAGGATGTACCTGATTCCTTAGGAGACAGACTAGGGAGAACCAAATTTTACATTTTGTTTGCTGGTTCTGAAATATAGGAGCTAATCTGATATACCCTTGTGCTATCTGTAAGTTTATGAGCTTCTTAAAGAACTGCAGCTCCAAAAGACTTATTTATCTGTTTATCCAGATAGACCGTAGAGTAAATGTTACTTTTTCCTTCTTGACTATATATAGGATCACGGCATTCCTGAGGACCACACTAGATCAGCGTCTCTGCTAGGCAGGATGTTCCTTATTAATGTTGCCACTATTCAGCTTCAGAGTTCAGCAGAAGTGATTCCTTTCCATGTAGTTGATTTCTCAAATTTGAAATAAATGGACAGTGTACTCGCATACAATATTTTCATACTTTACACCTATTAATTTTTTTAATGTTAATTTTAACATTCCAATCATTTGTTTAAACTGTAGTCATCAAATCCTGTAAATGAAAAGACTTAGTAATTGTTTGGCTCAGGGTTCCCCAAACCCACCCATATGCGGAATCAGTGTTGCCCTTGATAATGACACAGTTTTGTTATAGACACTACTCTTCCACATTTGCCAATTTTTTCCATGCTGACCCCTGATTTTACTGGAGAATAAGCTGTCATTTTCTCAAGGAAGGTGTATTTTCCTTAACCATTCCTCATGTCAGCATGGTTGTATTCATTGGTGTATGAGCTGCCCTGGTTAATGGAATTTGAGGGGAGGGCTGATGAAAAATTTTCTGTATCTGCTAAAAGAATGACTCATAGCAGACTACTAGTCTTCTTCCTCAAACGTTATGTCTCCATATGATTGCTAGAACTGCCACATCTATCTTGAGACATCAAGAAAAACTGGAGTTGATAAGCTAAATATAGCAGAGCGGAGGAAGGAAAGCACTTGAATGCCTGGTTCTATCAATGTTATTGCACCACCAAATTAGCTCTGCTGAGTCTTCCAGAATTCTTGTGATGTCACATAATAAACACCTATTATTTAAGGCGTTTTAAGGTATATGTTCTGTTAATAGACAATTTTAAAATGCTAACTGAAATATAATTATCCTGCTTCAATAGCTATTTATATAAACAGGGGCTCCAGAAAAGGATTATTCTTCTATTTTTTTGTACTTGATGTTGGGTAACAATTTCTTTTAAGCAATAAGGACATTGAGGCTCAGGGTAATGTACATAACTTCCCCCAGGGTTATACAGCTTATTAGTGTCAGAGATAGGAATGAAACCTAGGGTGTCTCTCTGCCTCCTATGTTTTTATGTAATTCTTATGCCCCTCCATCCCTGACACCACTTCTACCGGTTTTATTAGGAACTATTTGTCAGCAAGAAAGAGACTATAACACATTTACCTTAGGGGCAAGTTTGGGTTTTTGTTCTTTGCACAGTAACCAGAACATTATATACAAATAGATGAGGAAAATAGCTACTTGGATATTTTTTGGAAGCAGAGAAAGAAATTTTAATCCCTCTAATATTTTCCAGAGATATGGCTTCCCCTCTCCATGTTCCTTCTCCTCCTGCTCTTCCTTCTCCATTCTCTTCTTCATCTTCTTTCTTCTTTCCTTTACATTATGATTATTAGATTATCACGTCATTATTAGATCATTACATCATCTTCTTTCTTCTTCTTTTCTTCTTTCCCTAACCCATCCTACCCCTCTCCACAAATACTTACATGAACAGAATTAAATATGGTTAAAATTATGTGAGCAATGATTAGGTAAGTATGGGATAAGGAACATTAGATATATTTTGGGGAAAGTGAAAATCAGGAATTTTTCTTCACTGAGTTGAAAGTAACTGGATTCGTTCATCCGCAGGCATAAAACATTTTTTGTATGAAAGCTGTGTTTTCTTAGTTGTGAATTATATATTGCATTTAATAATTTATACTTTGCAAGGACAGGAGTTGCATACTCTATATCCACATACTATGCTTTAAATATATTTTCTTATTCAGTGTAAATGCTGAGATAACAGTGATATATAGTAAAAATAAAGAGAACCATAGTAATCAATCGTATTTCTCCTTATGAGAAAGCTGAAGTTATTATTTTAGTAGCTTGGTAATTATTTTACTTATTAAGGTAAATGAGAGTTCTTTCTCTTGAGAAAAAAAAAATGAAACAATGACCATTTTCATTTCATAGAACTTGTTCCAGTGGAAAAGCTGTGTCTTCTTTTAAAGCAGAAGATCTTATCATTGTACAGAGAGCCGGTGTGTAGAGGATCAAAATGTTCCTTATCCCATATTTCCCTTAATTGTATTGATAACATTAAGCGTTCCTGAGGGAAAAAAAAAAAAAAAGAAAGTCTTTTCTTCTCTAACTTTGTGACTCATCTGTGCTCAAAGGGCAAAATAAACTGTTTTATTTTGTGCATGTTGCCACAAAAGGTGAACAATCATTTATAAAAAGAATCAACTGTGCAATGTTCCTTGAGTCAGAGAATTTTCCACAAAGCAGAACAACAGAAAGTGTTCTCAAGGAGAGCGAGACATTTGCTTATACCTTAGAATGGCTTTACACACCCACCCACCCACCCACCCACAATTACAAATTAGCAGGTGGCAGGGCTTGATATTAAATATTTATAAAAGTAAAAAGAAATAGAGTGATAACTATGTTTACAATTAAGTGCACATATTTGACCATATGTGAACATGTGGTGTGAATTTAATTAAAATCTGTAACAAAAAAGAAAAAGGGTATTTTACAGGATTTTTAGATATATTTTTTAAAGTTGGTGTGGATATTGTTAGTGATGTGAGAACTCAGGGTTTTCTTGTCCTTGATTTCATTACTTAGATTTTAAACTTAAAATAACTTATAAGTCCAATGATAAATCTGTCACTTTTCCCTGTGAGTTCAGTAAGTCTATTTCTATAGGATCATTCAAAGTAATCCTAAATATTTCCTTGTTATTCTCTCTCCTGATTCTGAATTCCTTTTCTTATCCTCCCTTTCTCGGTCTCCCAAAGTAACAACCTATAATTTATCTTACAGACATTTTCATGAAATTCCTTTGGATTGCATTTTTCAGAAACTCATTTCTGATTTAAAACTAGTTTGGCTACTACCAGGGGAAAATAGCTTTTCACTGATGAAGTACATTATTTGAGAATCATTATAAAATATTTATCAAGATTTGGGTACTATACTGTCCTCCTAGGTAGCTAGGAGGGAAAAATAATTTTTCAGCTCAAATAATTTACAGTTTCAAATATAGTGATTTTGCCATCTATAGAAATAAAAGATTACTTACTAAATATCAAATGGGATTTTGATATCCCATCAGGCCTAGGCATAAAAGTCTCTAATATAGCAAATTTTGGCAATACGAAAGACACGAATTCATCTGGCACATTTGCAAACGTGTGAACATGAAGGTTTGCATGAACAAAACTCTTCTGATAAACTCTGCAACAGATACTGTGCTTTATGTATGGAATTCACTAGGCAGAGCCCAATTAAGGAGAGACAGGTAGCTGGGAATCTTTTCCCACAGGGAGGATAAGGCCTTTCAGAAATAAATCTGAATTGATGCTTTACTGCAAATCTCCAGACTCAATCCTCTACAGAACTAGAAAGGAGAAATTGTTTTCCCTTACTCCAAAGTAGACGGATTGCAGAAAGCGGGCTGAAAAAAAGAAAACACCCCTGCAGGCATGGTGTTACACTCACGTTGTGAATACTGAATAAAGATTTTATAAGTAGCACTTGAAAAAGATAAAAGCAATTAAGATTTCTTGGGAGTACACAAATCTCC